GCCCCTGCCCTTCCCGTGCCTGCCGCCGGCCTGGCCCGAGGACGCGTCTCGCCGGCCAGCCAGTCTGTGCGAGGCCCCCTCCGGGAGCTGCCACCAAGGGCCGGGAAGGCGGGGAGCAGCACCTGGAAGATGCGCCCTGGGGCTGCCAGTAAGTGCGACCCCCACCGCGGGAGGAGGGAAAGAGGGACGGGCAGGGGAGAGGCGCCTCTCGCCCTTCCTGGGGCCCGCCTCGCTGAGCGGAGGATGGGGCTGGCGCTGTGGCCGCGTCTTCTAGACCCGGCATGGGGAATGCGGGAAGAGAGTCCAGCAGGGGCGAATCGCCTGGGGTTTCCCGAGCAAGTAGCCCTGCACGGCTTCCTCCACCCCCGCCCCTGCCTGTCCCCACCGCCCTAACTGAGGTACAAGGCAAGGGGGGTTCAGTGAATGTGACATTTTGTCTGGAAAGTAGGTATTGGGTGAGTGCAGCAGAGCAGGACCCAAGAGGAGGGGGCTCCTTCCACGGGGGAGAGCATGTGCCTCCCGGGGTGTCCCTGGACCTCATATCCCGGGAAGGGGCTGCCAGCTGCTAGTTAGGAGCACCTGTGGACTCCACCTGGGCTCCTCCGGTTCGAGTCAGGAGGCATTAGCCCCAGGTCCAGCTGACCAGGAAATTACGAGAAGGGAGGTCACAGTGAGGTAGCCCTTATCAAGTCGGTGGGAGATATGGGTGGGTGAGGAGAGACTAATTAACACGGAATGCCCCATTGTCACTTAGCATAGCAGTACCGGTAGCATCGTTTTATAAGGCTGTTCTTATTTTTTCCGTTTATCAAACTACTTGAGACTGCAGAAGATTTGGGAAAAATAAGAAAGAAAAAAACAGACTCTTTCACCAGTCATTTTATCTCCAAGTCTGCCTTCCCGACTGTGGCTTCTGTTCCGTCACTTGTCTGCCTCATTTTACAAGGTTTCCGTCTTAACCGCCCTGCTTCTGCCGCACACACCCTTTCTAATTGGTTTTGCTGTTTTCTTCCTATAATCTGAGAAATCTGCATTTCTCCCAGACCAAGGCGGCATATCTTGTGCAAGGTTGGAAAGTTCTCTTGGCTTCTTTGGAGGCCCCTTCCCCGACTCTGGATGGCAGATCGGTGGCAGTGAGATGTCTCAGACTAAATGATCCTTTTTCCTCCCAGCAGTAGCATTCTGGCTCTGTGGTCACACTCCAGAAAGTTCTAAACACCCCCTCTTCTGCTCCATTCCCAAAGTGTAGGAAAGCCAAATTTTAAGAATTTTGCTGTATTGTGTAAAATATTCATGTTTTCTACAAAACTATATATTTATGAACAGCACTGTTTTTGGTAACTTGTGTGGGTTGTAGGATAAATGGGTGGAGATAAATATCTCTTTGGCGGGGAGAATAAACCTCCCTTGGGGCACCGACTTTCATTATAACTGTTTTGGAAGAATTTTTTTCATTATTTCTGTATCATATACTTATAATATCACTTTGCTAGTTACTTAGTGGAAACCGCTGAATATTATCAGATTATTTTCCCCCACCCACAGTTTTTTCCCACATAGCCCTCATGATTCATTCATGAGCTTGCACATAAAGCTTCAAGATAACACCAGGTGTGTATTTATCTCGGCACGTGTGGTTGGGAGAGAAGTCGCCCGCAGAAACTCAGGGCCACATCACTTGTGATTTTGTGAGCATTCTTGGAAGCAACATTTCCCTGCTTACTTCTCATGCACCGGCTCTGTCCAAGGCAGACAGCTCGCAGGAAGGACGTTCAGAAGAATGGATGAAATAAGTTAAGTGGCCACCACCCTTCACCTGTCAGGCAGCTGCATGTAGCGGTCACCCTAACACCTCAAAATGAGGGCGTTGGCGTGTGAACCCTTCAAGGCGGGTCACCTCGCAAACCTGCTGTGGTGTTCTGGTGCAGCACTTCCCAGCCCTTCTGCCAAAAAGCCTCCGTCGAAAGGACAGCAACAACAGTGGACGCTGAGGCCAGCAGAGCCTGAAGCCACAATGCAGCCAAGTCCCCAAGTCCGGGGTGTGGCTCATGCATCCCTCAGCCCTCCCGGCCCTTCAAGGACAAAGGGATGCAGGTATGGCTGCCTCCAGGGCAAGGGTTTGTGTCGCAAGGCTCCCAGTGACAAACAGCTCCCTTGTCCCGCTTCGTGTTGCAGGAAGTCGCACCAAATGTAGTGTGTTCCTACGGGCTCAAACTTGCCCTCTTCAGGGCCCCTGGATGGGCGGGGTGAGGGGCATCCTGTGAGCCCCCTACCCGTAGCCGGCTTTAGAGTAAATTGGTTTGGGGACTGCTTTCTTCTCCAGCGTAAGTGAAGTGTCCGGACCAGCCTGAGACCCCCGAGAATCTGAGGGTGGGGATCAGGGTAGGGCGCACACGCGTGTGCGTGTGCACACACACATATGCACATGCAGGCAGACACACATGCACTAAATGAGTGTCTCTGAGAAGGCAGTTCACTGACCTCCTCCTGTCTCAGAATTGGCCTCTGCTCTAACTCTCACATGCCTGCTGGGTGGCAGCACAGAGGAGGACACGTCCCTAAGCTGATGATGACTTGTTGACTTTACGAGAAAAGCCTGGATCACGGTTACACAATCACAGCAGTTTCCTGGACTCTGCATATTTCCTCCTCCTCCCCCACCTCTGAAGCTGCTGGACCACCTCCCACCCGGGCAGGCCCACCTGGTCCCGGGAGCTGTCTTAGCTGAGGCCCTGAGCTTCCGCCTTTCCCAAGATGAATCCTCGCCTATGCCCCCACCTGGGTGCTGGTTCTTCTCTGCTGCCCAGTGTCTGAGCCTGTCCTGATAAGCCGCCTTGTGTCTCGCCTGGTCTGCAACCACCCCACGGACTGAGCCCCGGATGCAGGTGTCCAGCCCACTGCAGCTCGCCCAGTGCTGCCTGCCTGGACGCTGTCTGTCACCTCCTGGCTCCTCGGCCTGCTCTCCCTCTGGCTGCTGGAATGCTTCCGTGACTGTGTGTGAGACCCCTGCACTGGCTGCCGGTCCCTCTTACCACCAGCCTGGGCCCCCATCTTTGCTGCTGGATCTGCCCTCCCACCCTGAGGTGGTTCTGGCTCCAGGTCTCTGCTCCTCCCAGCCACTGCAGGGGACCAGGCTGGCCCCAGCCTGTGGGTCGTCAGCTGCACCCCTCACCCGAAGCACAGATACTTCGTAGCCCTCCTAGGAGCCCTGAGAAATGTCCGGGGATGGAGCTCACTGCCTCGCAAGGCAGGCCAGCCACGGTTTGTAGTTCTACTCGTGAGGACACTTGGGCTTTTTATTCATTGTTCATTTTCTTCCTTGTCACTTCCATCCATTTGTCCTTGTTCAGCTGGGGACAGAATTGTGTCTCTCTTCCACATAGCTGCTCTTTACACATTTGAAAGGTAGCCTCATGTTCCAATGTTCTTCTCCAAGCTAAACAGCTCTTTACTCAAAGATCCTACATGTGACGTGGTGACTGGAAGATCTTCTGAATAATCTCTGGCTTGCCAGTTTTCTTATTCAAATATGAGACTTGGGTACAATGGTCCAGCTGTGATCCCACACACACAGGACACAGAGGACTGAACCCGACACGCACTCACTGCTGACTTCGTGTTTCCAGCAGTCACACCACACTGCTCACTCCGTGTGCATCCAGCAGCATTTGCTTGAACAGCATGTGGCCCATGCTCTGTCCCAGGTGTGCGGGCACAGTCCTGGAGGGGAGAGAGCCTTGGTGTGCAACGCCAACAAGGCGTGTGAGGGGCTGACGTGAGGGTGCCCAGGCAGGCTGCACTCCAGTGGGGCCACGTAGCCCTGTTGGGGGAGCTTTGAAGGAGGAGAGGGAGATGGCCATGGTCTCTGCAGGAGAGCGCCCTGCAGGCAGAGGGCGAGACTCATACCCAGGTGCATAGCCGGAGAGGGCAGCAGCTCCAGCAGGTCAAGGTGGCTGGAGCGCAGAGCAGATGGAGTTGTTGGAAGGGTGCCTGCCACACCCACTGCTCTCATTTTGTTTTCTGCGGCTGGTTTTTCTGGCTTGGAGATGTCCCTTCAGTCCTAGACACTGCAGTGGCCACATTGTCCCAGGCAGTTCGCAACAGAAAGCCATCCCTGCATAACGTTCTAACGATCTTAGGGACTGCATGGTTTGGAAAATAGAAAAAAATAATTGCTGTTGAAATATGCACTTGAGAAACAAATCATCAAGGTGAAACAGAAGCGTCCCGTTCCATAACGTGACTGCCTAAGCTGATGAGCTCCTCCCGGCCCACGCACATCCTGACTTGATAAAGCATATGCAGCAGAGGGGTCCGCAGACAGCTGCACTCACGAGAGAGAGGGAAGCCTGTAGGTGCTAGAAATGAAGAGGGCGCTGAGATCCAGGGCTGAACACGGACAGGCAGAGGTGTGCCGGGAGGGAAAGGAAGTGCTGGGCTGTGTGCTGGAGGGTCGGGCTCCTGCCTCTGCGTCAAGGCCGCAGACCTGGAAAAGGCTGGGAGATGAGCTCACTCACCCCTGCCCAGGGCTCTGGGTAGGGGGACAACCCCCTGTCAGACCTGGGTGTCCCCAAAGTCAGTTCCATTCTGACGCTGACCACCCGCAGGTCAAGGGCAAAGTCCTCCGAGAGCTGCCCTCTCTCCAGACACCAGCCACACGTCTCCGGAACCACCTGCACTTCTGCCCGACCGGCTGTAAATTTGGGAGTTCCCACACTCCTGTATGTTTGATAATTCGCTACAATGACTCGCAGAACTCACTGAAAGCACTGCTACATTTACCATTACAGTTTTATTATCAAGAATACAGATCAGGAGGACCAGCTGGATGAAGAGACGTATAGATGGAATGCTGGGAGGGTCCCGGACTCAGAATTCCTTGCCCTCGCCCCCTGGAGTCGGGTCACATCACCCTCCTGGGTCACCGTCCTGAATGTCAGTGTGTTCACCACCAGGGAGCTCCCTGAGCTTGGGAGCCCAGAGTTTTCTTGGGGTCTGAGTATGTCATGGTCACATGACTGAGCTCAGTCTCCATCCCTCTCCTCCTGGAGGTCAGCGGGTGGGGCTGAAAGTGTCAGCCCTGGAATCACACACTTGGTCTTTCTGGCAAGGCCAGCCAGTCCCTTGAAGCTGTCTGAGGACCCAGCCTGGAGTCACCTCGTTAGCATAAACTCCCTGTGGTTGAAAGGAGCTCCGTATGAATGACAGCAGACACTCCTGTCACTCAGGAGATTCTAAGGGTTGTAGGAGCTATGTGCCAGGAACTGGGACAAAGACCAGATATATTCTTTATTATCCACCCTGTGATAAATCAGCATGCTACAGGGGACGCACACGTGGGTGTGGGGTTTTCACCACCAGCGAGAGAGGACAGGAGTTAGGATGGTGGTGGCCTGGGGAGATGGAGGCTGTTAAGACCAAGAGAAGTCTAGGGAGCCGGGATTTATTTTGGAGGTAGAACCAGTGAGACGGGCTGATGGATTCCATCGGGGCTCGGAGGGAAAGTGTGTAATGAAGGAAGAGTCCCAGGTTTCTGGTGCCTGAGCCTGTTCATCCACTGAGGCAGGCTAGATGTGGGGCAGGAGCACATTCGGGGAGCCGGGAGAATCAAGGGTCTCCTCTGGGACATGCTAAGTGTGAGGCCGAGGCACCCTACGGTGCTGACATCAGGTCGGCAAGTGGATACCCTCTTTGGGAACTCAGGATGGTCTGGCTGAGCTAATCCTGGGAACCTGAGGAGAGGCCAGGCTGCACCCCGGGAGGGCAAGCCGGCAGAGAAGGTGGGGACCTGCCCACGAAGTGGGAGCCCCTCGGGAGTGTCGTCCAGGGAGGACGTGTACAGGGCTGTTGTCATCTGGGGGCCCAGGGCTGGCAGCACGGAGGCCCTGGGAGACCTTGACAGGCACAGCTGCCCTGAGCCATGGGGTGGGAGGTGAGGCCTGGAGGCTGCTGAGAGGCAGTTGTTTCCAGGTGCTTGGCCTGAGAGGGGACAGAAATGAGGCAGCTGCAGCAAGATGTGAGGTCAGGTGGGAGGTCCCATCCCTTCCCTTCCCTTGTTTTTCCTCCTCTTCTGTCTTATCTCCTCCCTCTTCTCCCCAGTTATTTCTCAGGACTGGATCTATTAGCACATATTTAGATGCTGATGGAGAAATTCTCACAGTCCTCTCATGCAGGGCCTGTGGCCCTCCCTGCATTGTGGCAGTTTTGGTAATCTTGAACGGTACTGATCTGTGAGATATTTAGGGGGTAAAATCAGAGAGACCTGGCGGTGGATTGCCTGTGAAGGGACAGGGAGCTATCCGCTAGGCCTCCAGTAACCTAGGAGTGGGTAATGCCTTTTCCTTAGGAATTGAGAGGAAGATACTGGAGTCAATCAACCAGGAAGATTATCTCCAGAGATTTTCTGCTGCTGGGAACCTTGGGTTTCCCCGCAGGCTTGTCTCTGATGATAATGACAGGTTTGGAGACTTCTTCCAGTGTTACAGGGACCTGTGGCATGCTCACAGGCCCCAGGAACTATTTTCAGCCCTGGTGAGGCAGCAATTCACAAAATAGACAAAGCCCTGGTCCTCCGGAGGTTTCAGTCTGCTTCCTGGAGCATGCTCAGGTCTGATTGTCTCATGAAGGGAATGAGCATTGTTGTCTTTTAGGCCCGTGTCAGGCTTGCTGGTGCACAAGGCCATTTGGTGAACCATTGATGTTAGCATTGGAGGAAGCTCCATATAAAAACTTGGCTTTGAAAGCACTCATACCTTGTTTGTATTATCTGCTACTGTCTCGCTCAGGTGCCTAGTCTTAGCAAAGCCAACCAGGTGCTCGGGGTTCCATTGAAGCAGCCCCAGGCCCTTACCTGTCCACGGCCTCCAGGGCGTAGTTTCTCTTCAGAGCATCTTGCTGACGGCAGGTGCTGGTGCATGAATGCCGAATGCACAATGAATGCTGATGGGGGCAAGGCCTGAGGGGCGGGTCAGGAGAGCCTCGGGCGGGGCTCCTGATAGCACCTGTCCCATGGGCACCCACTGTCCTGTCTTCTCCATCCCCAGGCACTTTGAAGGCAGTCTTCCTCTTCTTTGCCTCCATGTGCGCCTGGTATTCTGGGTACCTGCTCGCAGAGCTTATTCCAGACGTGTCCCTGTCCAGTGCCGTTTATAGCATCCGGAGCATCGGTGAGAGGCCTGTCCTCAAAGGTGAGCACAGGGATTGTGTCAAACCAGCAACTCTGCAGCTCAGCTGCAGCCAAGAGAAGTGGGCGCTGGCCTCGGCTCTCCCCGACTGGCCATTTTATGTTGAGGAGGAGGAGCGGGAAGGGGAAGAGAGGGAAGAGGAGAAGGAGAAGGAGGAGGAGGAGGGAGGAGGAGGAGGAAGGGGAGGAGGGGGAGGAGGAAGGGGAGGAGGGGGAGGAGGAGAAGGAGGAGGTAATATCCACTCCTTTAGTTTCCACACCATTCGAAGGTGGTACCCTTGCTCACCCTGGTGTGAGAGCCCAAGGCAAATCATGATGTTAGGAAAATGAACAAAGAAACTTTATATGTAGGATGTGTTAAATAAAAATATGCATTTGGAATACATCTCAAATTGGGAATGAAGAGAAATTACGAAATATCTGTTAAAAATTACATTGGAAAACATGTGGGATGCCAAAGTAATAGTCTGTACCCTTTTTCAAAATCTCATTGTAAATAGATACACTGGCATATTTTTAATACAGAAATTATACAAAATTAATTTGCACAAATATAAAGAACTGGGTGTCATTCTTTTTCAGATTTAATTACTTTTTATAGCTAAAAAAAAGAACTTTCTAGGAATTGACTATGACTGAGGTGTTTTTATTCTTAATAAGATTTTCACAGTGGATCTTGTAATCAGATAGACTTACTGCACATAGACTGTGCATGGAGCCCAGCCCCGCGGGGGCATCCCCATGTGTGGAGGGCATGGGAGACGCCCACAAAGGGCTTACTCTCTCGTTTTCTCCATTTTTACACAAAAAGTGAAGTCTGTTTTGGACACGAGTTTGCCTCTCGGAGGTGCCTCTGACGCCAGTGTTTTTAGAAGGGCTCACTAAGGTAATTTCCAGTTCCCACCAGCGCGGTTCCCTCTGACTGAAGCGTGTCAAGTTATTGGAAACCCAAAGGTGGCGGGAGAGGGTGGCTATGGCGGCCGTGACGGCTGCGTCCCGGCTCCTGCTGGCTTGGAACCTCCACTTTGGAGGGACGCGTGACTGCTTGGGGGTCTGGTGGGCTCAGGGTTGGGGGTTGAGCCTGGTGACTGGCAGGTTAGTGTTCATGTGGATGAGAGGTTATAAAGGGGACTTAGTCATCCATGGGGCCACGCTGGCTTTGTGGCGAGACTTATTTCGTGCTGTTATCAGCGGCGTGACTGGAGGGGGCCCCCAGGGAACAGCCTCCCCGTGGGGATGGGTGGCCCTTGTCCAGGCACGTGCACAGCCCCTCGGCCGCCCCTCCTGGGCTCCTCCGGACCCCTGCACTCCTCTTGTGCCTGCTGAGCAGGCGGGAAGGGCTGTGGTTGCCCCGGCGTGGACAAGGCTCCAGGAGCGTGTGAAGTCCTGCAGTCAGCACGGGCCATGGAACCTCCCAGTGCTCCGGGCTCCGCAGGGTGACCGACGCCCTCCCGGAGCGTGTTTGTTCTAAGTGTCCACAGTCCCCCGGTCCAGGTGCGGGCAGTGACCAGCATGTCTGGTGGGAACCTGGAACAAAGGAAGGAGCACTTTGAGATGTGAGGTCAGTCTTGGCACTGAGAGGAGGAGGAAATGAGGCACAGAGCACTCCACCCCATAGCCGAGGCCGCCCAGCTGAGGCCCCTGGGCTCGGGGCCCTAACGGCCGCGCTGCGTCCACCCCTGGGGCTTTCACTCTTTTATCCATGTTTTGCTTCTCCCACCACGTTGTCTCTTCTTTTAAAATGACCCATCTCCCAGCGCAGCTGTGGAGGCCTTCCATCCGGCTCTGGACTTCCTGAGGTGAAGTCTTGTCCCGACAGTCCGGGCTCTCCTGGTTCATACCCTCTGTACCCTGGACGTTGCCTCCCACCATTTCTCCATGATTTTGAATCCAAGCTCGTCGGCAAGTCCCCTGGATCACACTGGTTTTCTAGAACGGCCCTGCCCTTCCTCTTCAGGATCTGTCTGAGGGGCTCCCCGTGCCCTGGCCTCTCTCTGCCTTTCCCTGTGCCTTGTATTTAGTGGGCGGGTTAAGTCCCACACTCAGTCCGTCTACTTTGTGAAAGACTCTGCTCACTTGGAAAGGCTGGAAGCACATCTGGCTCCTTCTACGCTCCAGGGCTCAGCTTCCTGGAGTCTCCCCTCCTCAGAGCACCTCCTCCCTTCCTCCCACCTCTCTGCCCCGTCTGTCTGTGCACCACCCCGCCCCCCGCCCCATTCGAACCTCTGCTACCATGATGGAGTTACATGCCCTATTATCATTGCCCTGGCCCAGGCCTCCCTTATTTTATTTATTTATTCCCTTTCACTTTCCTTTTCCACTCCAGTTGACCCCCCACCCACCCCTCCGAGGTGTTTAGTGAGACCTTTCTGTTTGAATACCTCACTGCAGAATGGGCTGCTCTGTTTTGTGGGCATGTGTGTTATGGTTTACGTGACAGACCGCATCTGTTGCTTAGTTGTCACTCAGCGCCACACTTGAGGACCCGTCTGCTGTGGGCGCCTCTCCTCCGGGGCTGCTCACTGCCGCGTCGGGGCCGGGATTCGAATCCTCCTCGTGTTCCCTCCAGATTGCCTCCAGCTTGTCACCGCAGAGATGCTATCACGGGGAACATCTCATACGGTCTCCTGTGGACTTGGGTGAAATCGCCTTTGGCGTTTATAACCCAGGGGTGGAACTGTTAGGCCCTAGGGTACACATCAGCTTGACTTGACTGAGTTACGCTTGATGCCTTTCCAGAACAGCCCTGCCCGCCTGCACTCCAGCAGTGTGTGGGGCTTCTGTCCCCCGACATCCTCACCAACACTTGCCTGATCCTGCTTTGTGATTGTGTCCATCCAACACATGTCAAGTGGCAGCTGGCTGCCGTGACCAGCATTTCCCAGGTTCCTGACGAGTTTGGGAACACCAAGTCACTCCTGAGACTATTATTTCTCTGTGACAGGTAGGGCGAGGAACAAGGATCAGCTTAGGGGAAGAACCCAGACTCATGGGAACCTCTGTACAGCTTGATCCCAAGCACCCTTCAGGCGGCCGGGGCACCCGCGTGAAAAGGTGCTGAACTGGCGGGAGGGTGGCCGTGCTGGGCAGGCTGCGACTGTGAACGCAGAGCTGCGTCACGGTTTGTAAGCCTTTGTCCCTGGCCCCCACTTCTGTAGGTGACACATTTGCACCTTGACCATTTTCTCTTGGACGGATCTCTCTTTCTTGTTGATTTGCAGGGAGTTTCTTATACATATTAAGCTATTGATTCCTGTTCCCCTCATAGCACATGCCATAGTCTGTAATGATCTTCTTTAACTTATTTACTTTCTGTCTCTCCTCTGCGTGTGTAAGCTGTTCTATTCACTGCCGTCCCCATAGAGTTGAGGACAGTATCTGGGGTTTAATAAATACTTGTGTAATAAGAATTTGTGAATGAGTGAAGGGATGAATCTGGTTTGGAAGCCACATATATAGACCCCACACACTGCTCACCACACCAGGCTGTAAAGGAGAATAACTAAAAAGAGAACCCTCTTGAGTTCATCTTCCACATACTTCAGATATAAGGTTGTTCAATGATTTTCTTGGAAAGTCTTGTGAGAGAGAACTAAACCAAACGAATCAGCTGTGTTTACTCACCTGCCTGGACTCTCGACCAAGATGAAATGAATTGACAGCAATCCAGTGGCTGTTGCTGAGGGAACACTGATGGGAGAGCCAGGAAAATGATTTTTTTTTTTTTTTGGTGAGGAAGATTGGCTCTGAGCTAACATCTGTTGCCAATCCTCCCCTTTTTGCTGAGGAAGATTAGCCCTGAGCTAACATCTGTGCCCATCTTCATTTTTTGTATGTGGGACACTGCCACACATGGCTTGATGAGTGGTGTATGTCCACGCCTGGAATTCAAACCTGCGAACCCCAGGCCGCCGAAGCGGAGCGTGTGAACTTAACAACTACACTGCTGGGCTGGCCCCCAGTTTATTTTTTTTTTTAAAGTTTGTACTCCCGCTATTTTTTTTTTGCTGGGGAAGATTCGCCGTAAGCTAACGTCTGTTGCCAATGTTCCTCCATTTTACATCCTCTCCCCCACTGCAAAGCCCCGGTACACAGTTGTGTATATTTGTAAGTTCTTCTGGTTCTTCTAGGTGAGCCACCGCCACAGCATGGCTACTGATAGACGAGTGGTATGGTTCTGCACCAGGGAACCAAAGCCGGGCTGCCAAAGTGGAGCACGCTGAACTTCAAGCGCTAGGCCATCAGGGCTGGCTCAGGAAAACGAATTTTTAATTCTAATCCCACCACTACCTAGCTGTTAATGCCTGTGAGTTGTTCCTCATCTGTAAATGAAGGGACATTATAGATGATGTCTGTATCTAAGGCTCTTTCTAGTTTGGAAATAAATCCTACCTTCCACGTTGCCGTGTCCTCTGAAATACAGCTCTACTTGGTAAAAGCACTGTATCACAGCCTTAAACATGATAGATGGTCCACATCTCGGTGCCCCTACACTGAAGGCATACGAGCAACAGTGCTACTCACGTTTGGGGGGCACAGGGACAAAGGCCTAGGGAAGGTGACACAGCGCTGCATCCACTCAGTCTGTCCGTGAATGTGCCTCTGCCCACTCCACGCTGTGCGAGGAGTTCAGCATCTTTTTACTTCAGCGTCGCTGAGCCCAATGGACCGGTGCTCCGACAGTCTATTGCACTGGCCTCACCGCACTCAGGCTGCTGGTAAATCACTGTCGTTGATTGATTAGCAGAGAGACGAGCACTCTCTGTGTGCCTTCTGGTCTTTATCTTTGTGAACTGGACTTTAATCTCATACAGAACAGTGAAGTGAGTTGAAACGGCTGAAATGCCCTCAGCACCAGACAGCTAGCCATCCTTTTGTTTGCCTGGTATACACGACAAGATCGTATTTCTGCAATCGTTTTCTTCATTTAAGGGGATGAATGAGATTATCATGCTAAATCAGGAAGTATTTAAGAAAGACAGATTCCTGGACCCCGTTCAGGGAAATTAAAAAATCTGTGGGTCCGGAGTGGAGTCTAAGAAACTATATTTGTTTTAATTAATGTAAGGACAGGAAAGGAGAATAATTTCTAAGACAGAAATTCACAGCAGGAGGCCCACTGTGTCGGGATGACGTTGCTGATGAGGGCCTTCAGTCTTTCTTAAACTAATAGATTCTTCTGGAGACACATAAGCAGGATACTGACTGCGAGGCCCACCGTTCTCTGGCCGGGGCATCAGGCTTCTACGTATCCATGTGAACTTTACCATTTGACTTTTTGGGAGGGAATTTCAGAAAAAGCGCCGAGGACCTGGATATGGCCCTCAATGATCGTGGTGGGAGAAGAGGCAGGATTTGGAAAAAGATCTCTTTTCTCACAAGACATATCTACCCCTCCACGGCCCCAACCTGAATAAGGAAGACAATCTTCTGCCTTCGTTCACATAATACATTTTGTGCTCCTAGGAAATGGATGGAAGGTTAAGAAAGCCTTAAAACAATGCCATACAAGTTACCCAACAGATCCCAGGCACTGTGAGAAAATGTAGATACCCATTTCCATGTCACCCTTAGTCCCTAGAGCCACATCCTCCTTGGAGAATCTGGTGAAAATCAAATGCCTCCCTTCTAGAAAATGCATCTGCACATAGCCACATAAACAGCACTTGTACTTTGCAGGGGCCTCGGATTCGGAAGCCCTGCCCTCGGCAGTCAGGAAGCCTAACTCCCCACAAAGTGCAGGGTCCTGCTTCCAGCCACCCCAGCACCCAGGGGGGCTGGCTCCCACGTGGACAGCAAGGCCCCTGCCTGGCGACCTGCCCATTGTGCTGTTGACCCCACAGGAGGAGGAGGGCGGTGGGGAGGCATCCCTGCGGGACCCCCAGGGACAGCTGCTCCGGAAGGTTCCAGCATCAGGCCTTCAGGTGAGTAGCCTGGGGTCAGAGGGCAGGAGAGGCGGGCAGGCGGAGTCTTGTCCAGGACCGTGCTTGCTCTGCTAGACCGGTCACTCTGTTGCTGTCCGTGAGCCGCAGCCCACTTTGTCTCCTCGGGACCTGCTTCTCCTAGGGGAGGCCTGGCCCCCTCTCCTGCCCGGAGGCCCGGCCCCTGCTTTCCCCTATCTGCTCTCAGTTTGGGGTCTACTGCCCCTGCCTCGGGCACTGTCGTGGGAGGCGCCGGGGCCTGGGTGCTCCTAGAGGTATTTACTTGGGGTTCACAATGCCTGTTGGTGCTGGGGCCAAAGAAAGAAGGGCAAAGAATGAGAATGTCAGGGGGTGGGGGGGGGGAAGCCAGGGTTTCCACACCTGCAGGTGCTGCCTCAGAGGGGTCTTTTTTTTTTTTTAATTTTAGGAAATGTGAAAGTTCACCTAGAAGGTATTCACTGCTATTGTTACAAGCAAAAATATGTTTGAAGTCAAAACTGTTATTTGATTTGTTTGCGGGCACAGCCCTTAGCTAAATCATAAAAACACTGATTATTTTATCACTTTCCAGCATTTTTGCAAGTAAGTGCTCTAGCCTCAGGCCTTGTTACCCTCCCCTTCCCCATGACGCGGAGGTGTAGTTTCTGACTTAGGTTGAACCTCTCTCTGCTTTGCAAGCTGCTTTGGCACTCACTGACCGGACCGCGTGGTTGCACAGGAGCCGGTCAGTGCACGGTCGGTGGCGGGAAATGTGTGGCCGGGTATGTATACCTGGGGCGTCTCTCTTCAGGGTCCAGCTTCAAGAGCAGCGTGGTGGATGCTTTTCGGTGGCTCTGGAAGAGCCCCTGCCTCTTTCACCCACGGGAATCTTTCTCTGTCTCATTTGCAATGTCTACAGACCCTGTTTGTCTGCTTCTGTTTTTTCAGCTGGCTTTAAAACAAAGCAGAATACCTTTCCAGGTTTCCCTCGCTAGCCTGCTATTGTGCTGTCTCCAAATTTCCATATCACGTAGGGGTTGGAGGTACACACTGTCCTCGGTGTCCTCGTGGCCTTATCTCTTAAGCTCCGCTGGGGCCGGGGCTGTGCCAGACCCTCCACCTCTGCGAGTCATCATAGCACAGCTGTCATGCCCGGCGCTCCCGGGGAGGACGTACGTCCTTCTCATTGTCTAGCTGAGAGGATCACTTGGCCAGTGCAGTCCTGCAGCAGTGTGAGGATGGCAAAGGGGCGTGGAAACAGTGTCCTTCTCCGAGAGCAGAGGGCTGGTTCTGTGAATCCTGGGCCAGTCGTGCCGAGAACAGCAGGGTCCACAGGAAGTGAGCAAGGCTATGTGCTTGTTAAGGGAAACGGGGCGACAGGGAGGATGAGTGTGGACCCCACTCTAGAGCCTTCCCTCTAGGTTGAGAATAGTGCATTCAGGACATCTGCCAAGTCGGGAAACGGGGCACGCCTGCTCTTACACAGTATCTTACTTGCATTTTCAAATACTCTGCTCAATGTGTTTTTAGGTAAATTACCTCTAAATTTAAAGTAATGAGCATTATTATTAAATGTTTTTAATTAAAATTAATACACAGTAGTGTCCACAACTCTAGACACACTGGAAGGATACTGTCTTTATAGCAGTTTTCATGTCAGTGCTTAGATCCCTTGCTTTAAATTTAGGTGTCTGGAGATTGAGAAAAAGCATATCGAGTCTGTTATTTGAAAATGTAAGTAATGCAACATACTGTGTAAATATGTTTAATCTATGTTTTGCAGCTTTGCAGATGCCCTCTATGCATGGAAAAGTCTAGAAGGAAATATGCCAAAAGATAAAACAATGACGACTCTTTACAGTGAAAATATGTCGGATTTTTTTCCTCCTTTCTGCTTTTCTATGACTTCCAGTTTTCTTATGCAGAAATTAAATAAGGAAAGATAAAATCTCCTGGTCCTTTCTTATTTAGAAAATTAGGGCTCAGTTTCTCGGAAGCCATCTGTCAAAGTAGGTGCAGATTTTTGCCCCACCAAGGGGCCAGATGTCCATGCGTTTGCTCAGCAAACACTGGCGGGGCAGCCGTGTGCGCCACACCGGACTTAGTGCTGGGGAGGGTGCAGTGGAAAATAAACAGACGACATCCTAGCCGTCAGGGAGAATTTTTAAAAAAGTAGACAGTAGGATATTAGAAAGTGATGAGAGCTAAGGAAAAGAAGATAAACCGGAGCAGGCTGGGCAGCGTGGGTGGTCAGCGATGGGGTGGGGCGGGTAAGGAGGAAGAGATGTGAAGGGGTGAGTAGACGTGATGTTGGGGTGCACACTCCCTGAAGAACTCTGCTTTCTCCTCCTGGGCACCGAGGGCTGGGGGCACACCCAGTTCCTGTGGTCACCAGGAATCTCTGCCCCCGTCCAGCTCAGCGGCAGCAGCCTGCTGTCACCGTGCTCATCTGCACCCCGGTTCTCTCCAGCAGGGCCGCCCAGAGTGGTGCTGTTTGCCTTCGTCGCGGTATCTCGTCTTGTGTGTTTTACCACTTGTCTGGCTGTCCTTATAGCCCTGTGCCCTAAATCAGAGAAGCCCAGTAATCCATTAAACAGAGCCCCAGCCCCAGTCAGACTGCAGGAGTGAGAGCACTTCCTAAATTTTTTTCTGGGGACTCAGATCTCAATTTGAACCAAGCACAGCGCCGTGGGTCCTGTGGACGGGGACAGCCAGCCACACCTGTGATGTGAGCAGGGAGACACATCTGGTGGTGATGGCAGCACAGCCCCCAGCAGTGGGAGATGCATGGGGGCCGTCCAGGGCCAGCCGGGCTCCTCAGACAGGTGCCTGGTTCTCCCCAGTTGCTGACCTCTGTGAAATGGGGGTGCTGGGCCATCATCTCCAGGGCCTGCCAGCACTGATGTCATAGTGTCCCCAGCAAGAAAGCTCAGTGCCTCAGGCTCAAGGGAAAGGAGAGAGGGGTCAGCCATGGCCAGAGGGGGGCGTGTGTGCGTGTGAGTGTGCACGCGCACGCGCGAGCGCGTCAGGGTGTGTAAATGCAGAAGCTGGGTAGATGCCCCATAGATGGCTATTGCTTCATTCACCAGCACTCTTAGACCCAAGTAATCTTCCTTTGATTGTAATACAAAATACGCATTGCCTGCTGAGAGTGTGAGGTAGGCGGCCGCCAGCCTCGGGCAGATTCCCAGCTCTTTTGAGTTGTTATGCCTACTCAACATCCCCTTCTTTTTGCATATTTGTTATTGTATGACAAAAGCAGATTACATGAACTTTGTATCTTCAGGGGAATTTCCAATGCTCCTAATGAAAATTGGTGACCCCTTCCCCACTCCAGTTTGTCCCCACTCCACTGGGACTTGCCGGTGTGACATCATGGGATACAATGGCTGCCGTTCACGGTCAAGCAGTGGTTTCCTCTGATAAATACGTGCATGATGCTGACTGTCGCCTTCTTGTTCCTTACAGCCCCAGCCCCTAAAAGGCAAAAATGCGACCACTGGACCCCGTGCCCCGAGGACACCTATGCCTACCGTTTGCTCAGCGGGGGTGGCAGGGACAAGTACGCCAAAATCTGCTTTGAGGACGAGCTGTAAGTACCCATGTGGAGAAAGAAAACATAGCTCTCCCACCTGATTCTTTCCCTTCTGCTCCTGGGAGAGAAGGGCGTGGCCTTGACCTCAGGCAAAGCCTGAGAGCGTCCCCCTAGAACTGGGAGTGCCACCCCGTGCTCACTGGGGGGGACGCGGATTGTTTCCTATGGCATTGTCGGGGGAAGAGGAGGAATCCCCCTCTGCCCTTTCCCTTAAGGTTCTTATGGCTGGCCAAATAATCAACAAGACAGGTTAG